AGGGAACCGAGAAGGCAGTAGGGACGGTGCTGGAAAATAGAAATCACCATCTTTTGTAACCTGGTTATGGAGATGACACCCTGACATATCCTGCATGTCTTGTTTAAGTTTTGATGTCCAGCCCACACTCAAGGTACAACGTAAACACCAGGAGGCAGGGTTGTTGTGAGCTGGGTCAGAAGCTGCCTCTGGTGCTTTGGTGTAGAAGGAGGATGGGGGACACTGAGCCCGGGTTTAGAGTCAGTTTTGTTGACTTTGTTGAGAGTACAGAGCCCATACTTAGTGTTCTGGGCATTTCTCATACGGGTAGATTCTCTTTCATATGACATTTAACAGGAGTGCTGCCTTTCTGAGTCTTTGCCTCTGTTCCTCAGTCTCCCAGCTAGAATTAGAGGACTCTTCCAGCCCCCTTTTATGCATTAACTCCTGGGAAATTAAACCCTCTTCTCTTCTGAGAATGCTGGACAGTGTAGGCTGTTGAACTATTTTCTCTGAGTGTCACATGTAGATGTTTCTGTTTCATAAAATTCTGGAATGGGATTTCATTCATCTGTATTGAGTACTGAGCTGTCACAGACTACCCTGGTGACTTGGTGCAAGTTCAAGTTCAGGACCAACCACTGACTTATTCATTCGTCTAGAGCTTGACTGTTGCTTTTCCAAATGCATTTAACCAGTACTACAAATCTCACTTTGACTACTCTTTACAGCTTTCTGGAAAAATGTGTCTCCAGCCCACTGGCTAGATTAGGCAGCATGTGTTAGCCGTAAGGGTTTGAGATGGGAGAGGATGGGTTTTTTTAAAGGAATTTTCTGTTTCTCTTTTGTTAAAAAAAAGTCCAGTATTAAAGAATGATGTTTAAATCAGAAGGATGTTGGCCTACATGTATCACATATTAAACTCTCTAAGTTGCAGTTTGAAAATACTGTTGTTAGAGAATTGACTGTTTCGTGTTTCATCAGTCAGCTTCATAGTCCTGTTTCAGTGAACATTTCCTAATAAAGATTTGCGTTGAAGTTTCTTAGGTAAAATGGAGGCATCAAAGAAGGACCTTTCTTAGCTCCCATGCCAGCTTGTGGTGTGTAGCTGTTGAGGAAAAAACTTGGGTATGGTCTCCTTCTCCCTTGATTCTGTTCTTGATTCCAATTGACTGTTTTTCTCTGTCCTATGATGTTACTGTGGTAAGATTAACTTTAAAGGCAGACTGTAATTTCAGCTGCTTTGTAGCATACTCAGTAATTCGGTCCCATCTCTTATCTTTATGTTTTATGGAAATCTTACAACTTAGATGTTTTTGAAGCCTCAATTTTGAAGGGGCTGACTAGTACATTTTCAGTTTTTGGCATGAATTTACATTTCTGTAAGCTGCTGTATGTTTTATGTAGGTAAGATTATGAGGATTGTGGCACACACAGTGGATGGCTGACTGTAAAGTTCTCCATCTTATATACCTAAGAAGATCACGTTGAGTCCAGTTCCAAGCACATCTGTGCTACTCTGCAGACAGTGGGGGGCGAGGTACCTGGAGGGCACGGGCTGCCCTGACTTCCTGAGGCTCTGTGGACTGGAGTCACTGCTGGCTTGGGTGGTTTCTGGGTTCTCTGGGTGAGTCATGTAGGAGCAGAAAGGTCCTCGGGGTGGGCAGGAATCTCACTGTGAGCTGAGTGCTGGCTGTGGGGGCCTCATGAGTGTTGAGAGCTGACGGTGGCTTTGCAGGTCTTGCCCAGGCTTGTCAGTTTTGTCATCTTAGACTGTCTTTTCATGATAGGAGGGTAAATCCGTACCTTGGTCTCTATTTTAAGATCACTTGCTGCTTTAAGGTTTTTTTCATATAAACCTCTCATTCTGGTAAAAAACGCACATCAGGGCATTTTAAAATACATTATCAGCAGGTGGCTCCATCAACAAAACATTTGAAAGCGATTCTGTTTTGGTTTTTTTTTTCCCCCCATGCATTTAGTTAATGAATTAGATTATTTTTTCCTCTTTTGAGGTAATTTTGATACAGTTTTAAAGATAGGATTTAGTGCTATGTTTAAGCTATTTATGGTATAAAACTTTTCATGAAAAAGTTGTTTTAAATTGTTAAAAAAATTTTATTTTCTAGAAATCTGTCATTTTTCTTCAGCTGAAAGTAGTTGAAATTTGCACGTCACGTAGATTGCCTTTCATGTATCTTAAATTTAAAATGCTGAATTTAATTTTATTAGTACATTTTACATTAGGATTTAAGGGCATTTGATCAATGTAAATGGAGAATTTCTGTCCATAGTTTATTTCTCAGAGTTTACAATTTGTGCATATAATGAGTGTGCACATAATGAGTGCAAGCCTCTCAGACCAGTGCTTGCTGGCATGAGGAAGTATGCCAGCCATTCACATTTGTTTAACTGTGCCCTGAGGGTGTGTACACAAATATGTATGAGTTGGCTGTCCCCCCTTCTCTCCTCCTGCAAATGAGAGGAGACACTACTTTTCTCACTCCTACCGACAGTACCAAAACAACCTGAGTCAACACTTAGATATCCCACAATATGTTGAGTTTCTCAAAAGTGAATAATATCCACCACCTTGAGTTATCCTGTACTACCTGCACTTTGAAAGTACCCACAGAGCAGTTTCCCTATTAAAATGTTAAAATTACAAGATCGGGCTTTGACTGGCAAACTTAGTTAAGCTTTAACTTCAGAGTTTGATATTTGTGTATGCACAAGTGTGCTTTTTACCTGATGTCTAACTTCATTTGTGACCACAACTCATTGGGGAAACACTACTATCAGGGTGTTAGACTGGGTTTTCATCAGGGGAGCTGGATGGATACTCGAATTGTTGGTCCTCTGCAATTAAACAGAATCTTCTCTTGAGTGAATGAGCCAGGATGATGAGGCGAGGGGTTTTATTTCAAAGTTTGTTTTGGTGATGGCATAAATACATAACAGGTTCTGAAATCCAATTACTATATTAAATTTCATCACTTGTTTTTTAGGTATTCCAATAACTGTACCACCTCCAGGTAAAACTTTTTTCATGTTTTCTCCATCATTGTTAATAAACATGAAATTTCAAACTTACAGTTCCAGGAGGGACAGTGTTGATGTGGTTAGAATATGGTATAGGCGATTGGGATTTCAAGGTCCTATTTTCAGCTCTGCCTTTGCTTCATTCCAGTTTTGATTAAGATACTGAGTTCTCTTATACCTGTCTTGCCCATTTCTGCAGAAAGAGAGGTTCTGGGAAAATTCTTACCTTGTCAATTTGTGAAGAAAACAGCATAGTATATAAACAAAATTTTTTATGAAAATCTCTTTTCCGACCAATGAGTTTTTATGTGATAAAAGAGAAGAGAAAGAGAGTTTATCTTGACTTTAGCATAGTTTCTAATTTTTTTTTAATCCTGCTGGCATAACTCAATATTGTGAGAAAATATTTTCTGAACCGCACAGCAAGTAGATGAATTGATGACTAGTCAAGTTGTTGTTCTTAGACTGGTGATTAACATTGTTGTAATGATCAATAGGAATTTATATGTGGCCAGTGTTTTTTATTTTTTTGCATTTTTGTCAGTTTTTTATTTTTACAGTGTGATAGCAAACCTGATAGCAAGCGTGTTTACTGAGCCCAGTGTTAAAAGCCAGGGGGTATAAAGAGGAAGAGAGATGATAACACTTGGAAGTATTGTCTAAATGCAGTATGGCCTTGACACACAGAAATAGTGATGTTGAAGGATCAGAGGATAGTTGGTGTGTTTAGATGTGGGATTGTGTGTGGGTATGGCTGCAGCGAACTCATCAGGAAAAGGCAGCAGAATCCATGGTGTGTCTTCGTAGCTGAAAGGCAGTGTGGTTGTGAGGCTGTGTGGAACAGGGTGTGGCCTTTCACACTGGTGTGCTCATTGCTAAATCTGCACTTTTACGATGTTTCTGTAATAGAGGAGCAATGGATCTAGGACTGAATGCAGTGAATAGTGTGGTAATCTTGATTCAGTTGAGAGCGGAGCTAACCATGGACTTAGGGGGGTCTTTGAGAAGGGCTCAGAGCATGGAGATTTATTTTTATATAAAATACTTAAAAAGAGACTTGTTGCCAAATAACTGGAAGGTGACTGAGAAAGTGACGAGGAAATACTTGTCCGCATCCAGGACAGTGAGTGGTAGCATGAGCGATTTTGAGGTATGATCTCATGCAATTCCTAGTAGGGAGGGTGGTCAGAACATAGAAGGAATTGGTATTGGAAGTTGTGGAATCCTGAAGTCCTTTGCTGGACTGCTTTCTTGACTGCCTGAATTTCAAAGTCTAGAGTAGTTGAACTGTTAAGTTTCCTCTTAGCCATGTTATTCTGTGGTATTTCACGTAGGTATTGTAAATTACTGAGAATGCAGACCTCATGATATAAAGGTGCAACCATTTTCCTTGTAAACAAACCCCAAAACAACACGATGTGCCTTTCTTGTAAAATAGTCTGTGAGGGCTGTGCCATTTAAAACATACTTCATGGTGAATGTTCTCAGCCGTGAGCAGTTCTATATTTACTGGTAAGATTCATTTATACATTACACATTTTAAGGCTATTTCCATGCATTAAAACTCTTACAATAGTTTGGAAAGAGGTAAATGCTATTTATTTGCTTTTCTTCTGAAACATTCCAAATATGACATTTCTGGCAGCAGTCCTGCTATTACTGTCTTATGTCTGGGGAAGGTAAGGCACTGAGCTGAACTGTCTCCTCCTCACCAGTGGGCTGTGTGTGGTGCTGAAAATAAGACCGGTGTCCTGACTCCCAGTTTGTGCTCTGTGTGTTAGACCAGACTGTTTCTTTAAAGTTGTATTGCTCCAGAACTCTGTGTATAAGTTTGAGCTCCATTTTTTTTCTGTTCATTATAACATAGAGAAGCACGTTCATGTCCCCAGAGAAATGTAGTGATACGCAGCAACTTTGTTTCCCGCTTGACATTCTTGTACTTTCTGTTAACATGTTTCTCTTGTGGTTGAATGTTGCAGGTTTCCCTCCTCCCCCAGGCGCTCCACCTCCGTCACTTATACCAACAATAGAAAGGTAAATCAGGATGGGTACTGTAAATTTGTGATTATTGATAGCCTTTTGATAGAAGAAACTTATATGTATCTTGGTAAATTTTCAAGGATGTCATTTTGTAAACACCGCGGCTGCCTTTTAATCCATAAACCTAGATCTGTGTTGGGTGCTTTTATATAAGATGTTGAACCTGCAGCCTGCTATCAAAACAGGGCAAAGCAAGCTAAATCATAATGTTTTGAAATAATATCTTGCTTTTATTTATGACACATTTAATTAAAGAAATCCCTAGATTGTTAAAAACTCAGATACAGTCAGCTTTGTGGAAAATATGAGCATAAGTTAGTAGAAATCATGAGGGATACATGTCTCTTTGGGATTAGGTAAATACAACTATTATTAGACCATGTTAGAAAAAGCAATTTTGTTCCTTGAAACCCTGTGGCATCTCAGCTTCTGCAGAGAAGACTGGGCTCGTTCTGCCTGGCAGAAGCCTGACCTAGTGTTTACGCCCTGGGCTTACTGGTCACGTTAGCTGGCGAGACATGCTGAGGAACACCTCTCCCGTGTGGCACTGTGGCGTGAAGCAGCATGGGACAGAGCCCTTTTAGACTCTGTTTCCCTGTGTGACCAAAGGGGTTGATAAGAGTTGTAAAGATTGAAAAAACTCATGAATACCAAATGGCAACATAATTCTTGGCAGATAGAAATCACTGGTAAATAGGGGCTGTTGTTTTCTCTTAAGTGGCACATGAGATTAAAAATAGTATACTTCTGAAAAAATGATTCAAATTACTTAACAGACAAAATTGGTGAGAATTTAATATCAGTAGCATCAAGCCATGCATATGGTTTTCAAAAGAAATTCTAAAACTCAGGAAGGTGTGACTTGTGAAAACATAAGGATTTAGTTTTATTAAGTCACTGTAAAACCTATTTGCTTTCTATATCAGATGTTAAAAAGTATGATTTGTTGATCCTGTTGGTGGAGCTGAGTTACTGATCTATAGCCATTAAAGCCAATTTTTTAAGACTGAAATTTAAATGTCAAACATTCTGTTAGCCCGAAAATGTCTTATTTTACTTGTAACTCAAGCTAAGTTGATTGTATAATTCATGTTAAATTGTACTAACAGGTTCTATTTTTCTGTATTACAAAATAAAACTATAGAATTAAGCGTATCATTAAATAGTGGTTGAAGAAAAGTTATAATTTTGCGATAATGATTCTCCACTTGCGTGAAATTGTTAAAATGCAGAGATCATTTGCAGTCGACGTAAAATGCACTTTCCTTCCACAGTGGACATTCCTCGGGTTATGATAGCCGCTCTGCTCGTGCATTTCCCTACGGCAATGGTGAGTAAGTATTTTTAAAGCAATAAAAGTGTGTATTCATGATTTAAAATAACATTCACAAAGTGATTACAAATGTGAACTAAAGGAGCAGCCGGAACTCCATGTCTGCTGGGTTGTTTAACAGAGTAGGCTCTGCATACTTATCAATTGCACTTCTAAACATGAATGAGTTGGTGGTGCAGCAGGGATATTGGTACTGCGCCTTTTCTTGAAAGGGTTTAGGGTCTGTCCCCAGTTCGACTCAGTCTTTGTTATTTGTAGTATTTCTGTTTTCTTGGCTGTAGCATCCCCCTAAGCTTGTTCTCATTTCCCCTCTTGCTGGTTTGATTTTCCTTCTGACTCAGGTGGAGGTCCTCTTCTGTGTTCTCTCTCTACCACCTCTGTGCGTTCCCAGGGCTTCTGACATCACTGCCTACTAAGACCTCTTGATCATTCATTCGTTTGTTTTTAAGATGCTGTGCACTGCCTTGAGTTTCAAGGCCAGAGTAAGCTGGATACAGTGCCTGCCCTCATCATGTGTATAGGCTTATGGGGAGATCCAGGTGACAGGAGAAGAGGGCATCAGAGAGCACAGGAGGGGCTCTTTCTTGTTGAGGGGATAACTTAAGTTCCCAGCTGTTCAGAGATGTCGGGGATTGGAGAGTGGCGGGAGACTCTGAACTGAGCAGTGTGGATAGTAGGATCATGCCATGGAGTCGGCCTTGTTCAGGGTCAGCCTGTGTGGAATCGGATGATCTGTGCTGAGTTGTGACTGCCACATTGACGTTAGAAAAGTCTTCTTTTCTAGTGGAGACTTCCCTGTGAGGAAGTCTCGGGTCTCTAGGATGAGTGGAAAGGTGGGGATGGCAGAGATGCCTTCTTGGCATGGAAGAGCAACAAGAAGCTGTTTGGACATGTCAGGAGTGAAAAATAGTTTTCTCTTTATGCATCCTAGTTAGGGTACACCCTGTGAAAGAGGCAGGTTAACAGGAGAAAAACAGCTGTGTTTATTAACATATATACCTCATCTGTTGTGCGAAATACCCAGGTGAGTCATACTCAGAGAACTGACTTAGACATCCATCTTATGTAGAGAAAGGTCAGTTTTTAGAGACATGACAAGACAAAGGAAAAAGAGTCTCTGGAGGTGGCCATTGTGGAAGCAGAATATATAAATGCATGTGGTTTTGTCTGGTGTCTTTTCCAGGCTGATAAGGGCCTAATTTGTCTTCAGGAATCAACCTCCGTCCTTCTTAGTAGAGACGGGAGGGCGGACACCTTTATCTTTCTTTGTAAATTTGTCCTGTTTTTAGGTACATCGAGGATGGTGGAGAACTTTTTTTGTATCTGCTTCTTCGCAGATGCCTCCAGCTCAAAATAACCCTTACGTCAAAGGGGCAGATTCTGATGGCAGATTCTGGTCTCCTACAGAAGCAGTCTGGGGGAAAGTGAGGGTGTCATGCACTCAGTGCCATGGGCATCGAGACAGTGAATGAATGAACTGCAAGGCATTACCGTGGTAGGATCTGGACGTCTTGGTGATGGATCAGAAACAGGGACTGGTAATCAACTCCAAGGTGTCTGTATCAGGGTGTCACCTGTCCTTCTAGTTCAACCTGCTCAAAGCTCTATTTGCTACTTGTTTATGTCAGTACGTGGTGTTTGTAGTGACTGTCCTATCTGGGTGACTGTGCCCCGCACTCTTTTCTACTGGGCGTTCAGGCTGTCATTGCAAGTCCTACACTGGTGTCTGGCAGCTCCCTCTCACTGCTTGTGTGACTTACAGGCCTTCACTGCTAGACGGAACGTTTGCATAAAGTTCTACTACAGAGCACTTAGCACAGTGCCTACAATATGCAAGCAGTCCATAAGCATTACTTCTTATAGTAACTTCAGCTGTTTTCTAAAGACAAAGTCTCACTTTGTCACCCAGCTGGAGTGCAGTGGCACTATCATAGCCCACTGCAGCCTGGAACTCCTGGGCTCAGGCAATCCTCCTATCTCAGCCTCCCAAGTAGCTGGAATATAGGTGCATGCCCCACACCCAGCTAATTGTTTTATTTATTGCTTTGTAGCTATTTGATCTCACTGTGTTGCCCAGGCTGATCTCAAACTCCTGGCCTGAAGTGATACCCCACTTTGGCCCTCCCAAAGTGCTGGGATTGTAGGTGTACCACCATGCCCAGCCTAAATTAATTATAATTTTTACTTCTTTTATGGAACCTGCCAATTTCTCTTTTTTCACTTGGTTCCTTACATATAGATGAACATGAGGAATAGCACATAAAAGAAAGAATAATTTGGGGGATTACCTGCCTGGTCTCATTGTGGAAGACTTTATTTTTTAAAAGTGCTCATTTAGCTTGTAACTTTTGCTCAAAGTACTTTGTGTACATTTTTAATCAAAAAGCAAGTTTTCTGCTCTTTGCTACCCCCAACTCTTCTCTCAGAGACAAGTTTTTTAAAAAAATTTTTTTAATGAAAACCTTCTTTAGTTATGACAATTATAAAGCATATCACAATAATTAAAGGGAGGAAAGTTGGAAGTTTTCTTCATCCTAGCAAACCAGGCCTTGAGTGAATATGATAAATGCAGCTTCTTTGTTGGTGATTGTTTTACCTTATTTTTTTCTTTTTACAGAGTTTAGAGTTTTCTAACTCATCCTTAACATTAAGTAATAATAGATGGAAATAATTAATTTTCTTGTTTGTATGAAGAGTGTACTTATGAAGTGAGACCTAGTTAGAAAATAATCTTTGCGGGAATGTTAAGAAATGGCCATTGGGGCATCTGTTCTCAGTTCTTCCCATGGCCCTGTGGCATTCTCTGTGTGCTCACTCCCTGGGTCTTGGTCCTGCAGTATCTGACTTCGTCTGTTCTTTTCCTGCAGTGGTAGATGTGTGTTTGGCTCACTCACTATCACTACCCTTCCTTTCTCCTAGCAGCACAATATATATATATTTACTTGTTTTTGTGGAGATGAGGTCTTACTATGTTGCCCAGACGGTCTCAAACTCAAGCTATCCTCCCACCTCAGCCTCCCACATTGCTAGGATTTCAGGTATGAGCTGCTGCGCCTGGCCCAGTACAACTGTGTCTCTTGTATTCTTCCTCTGTTTGGTTTGATTACCATCTATTTTAGCACCATTCTCCTATGGGAATGAGGATGAGAGTGTGTCCATCTAAACAGTCACTGCCTCTTTCCCCTCTACCTCCCAACTTTGGTCAACTGTACTTCTGTTTTTTGGTGGTTTTTTTTGAGTTGGAGTCTCACTCTGTCACCCAGACTTAAAATACAGTATTTTAAGTAATTTTGTGCATACAAGAAAGTTTTAGCCCAGGTGCTGTGGCTCACACCTATAATCCCAGCACTTTGGAAGGCTGAAGCAAGAGGATTGTTTGCACCCAGGAGATTGAGACCAGCTAAGGCTACATAGTGAGATCTTGTTTCTACAAAAAAATTTAAAAATCAGCTGGTAGTGTGCACCTGTAGTCCCAGCTACTCGGGAGGCCGAGAGCGGCCACTGCAGCCTCGACCTGCTGGGCTCCAGCGATCCTTCCACCTCAGCCTTCCAAGTAGCTGGAACTACAGGCGCGCGCTACCATGCCCGGCTAGTTTTTGATTTATTGTAGAGATGAGGTCTTGCCAAGTTGCCCAGGCGGGTTTCGAACCCGCAGGCTCAGGCAATCCACTCACCTCGGCCTCCCAAAGCGCGGGATTACAGGCTGAGCCACCGAGTCTGGCGGTCAACTGTACTTCTGCTGACAACATTTAGGCACTGTCCTGTGACCAAAAGTTACAAACCTGTGCTCTGACAGATTTTTTAATTCCAAAAGCTGAGCAGTAAACAGTGTTTCCATTATTATGACTATGTAAGTATTGTGCATGGCAGAAATCATCATGTACCTAACTCAGCTCTTCAAAGGAGAAAATGACTGTGGCAAGTTGTTCAGATTACACATTGAGGATGTCCCTTATCGTAAATGATTTTATTAGACATGTTTTGGATTTTGTACTTTGGAATATTTGCTTATACATAATGAGATATCTAAACACAAGATTCATTTGTGTTTCATATATACCTTATGCACGTAAGGTAATTTTATACAGTATTTTAAGTAATTTTGTGCATACAAGAAAGTTTTAGCCCAGGTGCTGTGGCTCACACCTATAATCCCAGCACTTTGGAAGGCTGAAGCAAGAGGATTGTTTGCACCCAGGAGATTGAGACCAGCTAAGGCTACATAGTGAGATCTTGTTTCTACAAAAAAATTTAAAAATCAGCTGGTAGTGTGCACCTGTAGTCCCAGCTACTCGGGAGGCTGAGGTGGAAGGATCATCTGAGCCCAGGTTGAGTCTGCAGTGAACCATAAATGTGCCACTGCACTCCAACCTGGGCGCCAAAGTGAGATTCTGACTCAAAAAAAGAAAAAAATCATGGGACTGATGTCCTTCACGTGAGGTCAGGTGAACTTTCCAGTTGAGGTATTGTGTTGCCACTCAGAAGAATGTTCTGGATTTGGAGGATTTTAGAGTAGGGACACAACCTGTGCCCTTTCTTCTTGCATGTCATCAGTTGTGTAAAATTGACCACAGTTTATAATGAGTTTCACATTTGGTCCTTGCCTTTACCACCTCAGTACATAAAGGTCTTTAATGCTTTTTCTTTCCCCTGAAACAGTTTTCATGTTTTGCGTTATAATTTTTATAGAAGTTCTTAGGCCATCTAGAATTTTTGCTGTGAAAGTTGAGAGCTAATTGTTGTGGAGTCATTTATTGAATAGTCATCTCTCCTCCTGAGAGGTGTACAGTGCTGTCTCCATCATATGACAGATTTCCTTGTGTGTGTGAATCTGGTTTCGGGCTTTCTAGACTGTTCAGTTGGGTATTTTGACTCTTCCTGTGCTAATACTGCCATAGTATATTAATTATGAGTTTTAAAGTTAATCTGATACCTGGTGACCAGCAAACTGATTATTGTTCTTACATACACATTTTAGACTCAACTTTACATTTCATGAAACACTTGAGATTTTGATGAATAACTGACATTTCTGCAATGTTTACTTTGTAACATTGTTCTAAGCAGTTTGTTTGCGTTAACTCATGTAATCCCGGCAGGATTTAAGTGTGTGTGTTGCTGTTATCTCCCTTGTGCAGAGGAGGAACTCAGCACAACCAGGTGACAGGTTGAGATTTGAACCCGTGCAAGCTGGCTTCAGACGCCTTGCTTTTGCCGCACCATATTGAAATTGCAGGATGCTGTTGGTCATCTGTGTGAAATTTCACTCCTTTCGCAAGATGAGGACTTTTTCTCCATTTAGAGCGATTCTTGAATGTGTTTTCTGTCAGCTGCTCTTGTCTCCATGAATTTCTTGCACATTTTAGGTCCTTTTGTACCTAATGTTTTGTTGCTGTTGTCAGTGGCATATTCTTTTATTATTATTATTATTATAAAGATGTGGGGTACAATTCAGGGTTAGGTATACAAACGATGATTATGCAGGTACCCTTGTTGTTGAAGTGTTTCCCCTCCCTCCCCTAGCAGTTTCCCTCAACTGCCACTCCTGCCCCCCCTCCCCTGTCGGTTTTCCACTGCTGCCAATCCCTCTCTTACAGTATTATGATAATTATTCAGGGTCCACTTATGAGTGAGAACATACTGTACTCTGTTCTTTGTTTTTGTGATAGATCACTGAGTATAATCAACTCTAAATCCATCCAAGTTGCTGTGAAGTCCATATGTTTGCCCTTTATGGCTTTATACTATTCCATTGTGTATATGTACCCCCTTTTTTTTTTTTTTTTCAGTCCAGTTTCGATGGGCAGCATGGTTGGTTCCAGTGAGTGGCATATTCATTTGAATTAAATGCTCTGTTTACATTTGCTTGTATTCAGTCAGAAACAGTGTTGGTTGGTGGGTTGGTTGTTTTTTTATGTTGATCATGTAGCCATTTACCTTGCTGAACTCTCACTGAAATTTGCAAAAGCCTAGTCAGGCAATAACATCCTGAAGAGAATGATAGTTTTGCTTCTTTTCAGTTCCTTGTGCCTCTATGTTTTCTGTTGTTTTACTGTGTGACAAGGACTTCCACATAACATTGAGGCCCTAAAAATGGAATTCTTACCTTGTTCCTTTTTTTCTTTAGAAAGGAAATGCTTCTATATTTTTGCTGTTAGGGAATTCTCTGCCTCTCCTAGTTTCCAAGGGCTCTTAACTAAGAATGGATGTTGAGTTGCTACCAAATGCTTTCTGGAATGCTCAGTCTGTCAATGTGGCAAATTACATTTCTACATTTTTCTAATATTAAACTGTAGTTGCTTTACTGAGATAAACCTAACTTACTCATGATTATCTTTTTACAAAAAATTAACACTAATTATTTTGACATCTAACCTTATATGTAAAATTAGCCTATGATTTCCCTTTATTTGGATTGTCCTTATCTGGTTTTGATATCAAGGTTATATCAGCCACATAGGAAATTTGTGTAATTTTGGAAAGGTCTGTAGATTATAAATTAGTAGAACTTACCTGTAAAAGGCATCTGGCCTTATGGGATGATTTTAAATTACTGATTCAATGTCTTCAATTGTTATAAAACTATTCAAGATTTCTTTTTTTTGGGAATCACTTTGGTTTGCTAACAGTTTTTTTTGTTTGTTTGTTTTTAAGAAATTTATCCATTTCAACTAATTTTTTGAGTGCAGTAGTATAAAGTGCAGAATAGTTTCTTTATTGTGTATTCTCTGTGACTGTTTTGGTTCTGGTTTTTTAATGTGTTCTTATTCTGTTCTTTTTTTTTTTTTTCTTTTAGTCTCTTTAGGGGGCACAAGTAGTTTTTGTCCCGGCCTTAAATGTACCACCTATTTTGCTCTTAAGTTGGAAACTTAGCTCAGTATGTTTTAGTCATTTCTAATGCAGTGTTTTAAGACTGAATTTCTCTCTAAAACAGTTTATACCCATAAACTTTTGACATGTCATATTTTTGTCCATGGTTTGTTTCTAATAATTTAAATTTATGATTTTTTGACCCATGAGTTACCAGAAATGTGTTTTTGATTTGATATGGATGAGGATTTTTTTTCATAGCTTTTAAATTTGACTCCTCACTTTGCATGATGATAGAGAACATGCTGTTATAAATCTCCTTTGAAAGCATATACATATTTTATATTTGTTTTATATGTGCTGAAGAAGAATATTCTTTGTTCTGGGCAGTATTCTGTGCTATGTCTAGTAGATCACCCTTGTGACAATGTGTTGCTCAAATCTATATCTGCCAGGTGCCATGACTTGTGCTTGCAATCCCAGCTACTTGGGAGGCTAAGGCAGGAGGATCACTTGAGACCAGGAGTTCGTGGACGCCTGGACACCATAGCAAGATCCTGTCTTGAAAAAAAAATTAAAATTAAAAAATTAGCCAGTCATGGTGATACATGCTGTAGTTCTGGCTACTCAGGATCATGAGGTAGGGGAGGATTACTTCAATCTAAAGTTCAAGGCTGCAGTGCATTCTGGACTGAGCAACAGGGCAAGACCTTGTGTCTAAAAGATTTTGTTTTAAATCTTTTGTGTGTGTACTAGGCTTTTTGTCTTTAATTTGCCAATAATTGAGAGAAGTGTGCTAATCCCCTATGATAAGGGTGGACTTTTATGTTTTTCCTTAAATCTCTATTAGCTTTTCTTCTCTGAAAATTAAGACGACATTGTTAGCTGCTGGGCAATGTGCATTTTTCTCGTCTTCTTCGCTAGTTGCGGCATCTGTTTTTATATAATCTCTTGTCTTTTCTGGGTTATGCTGTGTGGGAGTCTGGTCTGTCTTTAACAGAGCTACTGAGTTTGAATTGGGAGTTTTAGTGTTTTCTGTTTCTTCCCATCTTTTGTCTTTCAATCCTTCTGTGTGTCTTTTATATTCAGGATATGGTTTCCTTTTTAAAAATTAAAAATCAACAGTCTCTGTTGTCGCTGATGAATTTGGTCTCTTTTTATTATTGAGATTATTTAACTGTTTGAACTTAATTCCTTCTCATCCTTTCAAGTCTTTTTGAATTGACTGAGTTATGAGTTGATTTTTTTTTAAATCCTGGTTTTCTCCATATTGTCTTGAAATTATATACTTTATTTCGAATTTCTTTTTTGGGGGGGTTATTCTTGAAATTTATTATACTCAATATGTAGTTAAATGAGGTTTGGGCCTCCTCCATCAATAAAGGCCTTAGAATACTTGAATCTTTCTCTCTTATATTCTATTGTAGTTTATTTTTCTAATTTTATTTCTTAACAAAAAACAATAACCCTCCACCATTGGATAGTGTAGTATTTTGTTTGGATTTTTCTGATTATCGTTTAGTTGTTTAGCCACGGCTTCCTTTCATCTTAGCTCTTCCAGGGTAACTTCTTTATCTCTCAGTGTATCTGTTAGAAGTTCCTTTGGTGAAGTCTGTTTTAATTTTGTTTAACTTTTTGTTTACAAAGGCTGTTGTTTTATTCTTAAGATATGATTTTGTTGAATGCACCTTTCTAGGTTGATGGTTATGTTCTCTCAACATTTTGACAACGTCCCAGTGTGTTCTGGTTTTCATTTTGATCTTGGGAAGTCTGTGGTCAGTCTAATTCTGGCTTCTGTTCGCCTTGCACGATGAAGGGTCTTTATGTGGCAGGTCTTTAAGGTTTGTTTCTGGATCTTCCCCACTTCGATAGGAATTCATTCACCATATGGCATTTCTGCATTCTATTTAATAAAGTACATTTATACTATAATCTCATGATGCATCTTGTCTTTTTTAAGCCCCATAACTTTTGTCTTTAATTGGTTTTTCTCTAGTCGCCTTTCCCCATATTCCTGGTTCAGCTCCTTCATGGACCAGTATTGTGGACACCAGCAAGCAGTGGGACTATTATGCAAGAAGAGAGAAAGACCGAGACAGAGAGCGAGACCGAGACAGAGAGCGAGACCGGGACCGGGACAGAGAAAGAGAACGCACCAGAGAGAGAGAGAGGGAGCGCGACCACAGTCCCACACCAAGTGTCTTCAACAGGTGAGTTGGGAGTGCAGGAGTTTTTATGTGTGTGTTTCACATACACCTTTACATCTGTGTTTGATGCGAGGAAGTGAATTTCAGTTCACTTGGAGGGGAGATGTGTGAAGAGTATTTAGGAAAGCCGTGTGACTTCTTAGCAGCAGGCTTCACATGTGAGGGGCACAAACTCCTCTCAAGGATACATGAACCAATGTGAAATTGAGAGGAGTTTGTGCCCCTCACATATTTTTATCTTCCATCTAAAGTTTTTCATCTTAAACTTAGAGTTGATCATCCTGATACAATTTCTAGTATATTTTAAATATATCCAGTTGATTTAAACATTGCAGTGATTTGCCAAATGCCATTATCCACATTTTTAAAAGGACACACGATAGGCTATCCTGAATAGTTGTAAAACTTACATTTCTTTTGGTGCTTGAATTTTTCCTTCTGTACCACCTCCCCTAAAAGTTTTTCTCTAGTGTAGAAGTTTTATAATCTTAACAAATTCTTTAATGGATTTGTCCATGAATCCTCCCTGCAACACATCTATCTATGTAAACTAAAATGTGTAAAGAAATGTGTTTTATGATCAGAAGTCTCTTGAGTGTTCTTAAAATTTCTTATCCTGATTTTAGTTATTATTTATGCTTATATTTAGTCATATACCACATAATGATGTTTTTGTCATCCCATGAGATTATAATACTGTGTTTCTAATGTTGGTTTTCTGTATTTAGCCACACAAATCATTGTGTTATGGTTGTCTACAAGATTCGGTACAGTTTGTAGCCCAGGAGCAGTGGGCTATACACATCCTAGGTGTGTGGAGGTTAGACCACCACGGTTTGTATAAGTGCCCTCTGTGATGTTTGCACAATGATGAAATCTCTTAACAATGCATTCTCAGAACTTGTCCCCGTCATTAGGCGATGTGTGACTATGTGCACACGCTAAACATTTTGGAAGTATGTAGTGGAACTACATTCCGTAATGAGGTTGGGGAGCGTATTCCTACCCCCAATTAACATGTGAATCCATAAATGAGTATTCTGTGGTTAGGAGAAAACAAAGTTTGCTTTGACTCCTTAAAATATTCAGTAAACCACCCTGTAAACATATGTGCTGTCATCCAGACTTTACTGTTCCATTAATAGAGCACAGGTTGTGCAGATTCAACATACTTAAAAGCCCTTGGATTTTTGGAATGGTAAATGAACAGTGGCTTCAACTTAAAGTCACCAGTTGCTGCATTCCCTAACAATGAGTCTGCCTGTCGGTTGAAACCTTGAAGCCTGACATTGATTTCTCCTCTCTAGCTATGGAAGATGGCATCTTCTAATAGAAGCCTGTTTTGTCTACATTGAATGTCTGTAGTTTCGTGTGGCTGTTTTCATCCATGGTCTCAGCTAGACCTTCTGGAGAACTTGCTGCAGCTTCTCGGTGAGCATGTGTTGCCTCACCTGCACTTTTATGTCACGGAGACAGCTTCTCTTCTTAAGCCTCATGACCCAGCCTCTGCTGGCTTCCACCTTTTCTTCTGTAGCATCCTTACCTCCTTCAACCTTCATAGAATGGAAGGGAGTCAGGTCCTCGCTCTGGATTAGACTTTGGCTTAAGGAATGTTGTGGCCATTTGCATCTTCTGTCCAGGCTCACTGAGACTTCCTTTTCGTCAGCAGTAAGACTGTGCCATGTTCCTGTCACTTGTGTGTCCACTGGGGCTGCACTTTTCATCTCCTTCGAGAGCTTTTTCTTTGTGTCCCCTGCTTGGCCAACTGAGTGGCACACAAGGCCAAGAGTGTGGCCTGTCTCAGCTCTAGACCTGCCTCCTCCCTCTGCTTTGTTTCTAGCTTTGATTTAAAGTGAGAGACATGCGTCTTCCTTTCACTTGAACATCGGAGGTCGTCATAGGATTATTAATTGTCCTCAATTCAACATTGTTGTGTCTCAGGGTAGAGGGAGGCCCGAGGAGAGGGAGAGAGACAGTAACAGTCAGCCCATGGAGCAGTCAGAACACGTATTTGTCCATGAAGTTCACTGCCTTACTTGGGCGTGGTTCACAGCACCCCAAACAATGACAGTGATAACATGAAAGAGCACAGATCACAGCATCGTAACAGAGTCATGGAAAAGTTTGAGATCTCGCAAGAACTACCAGAATGTGACACAGAACCACAAAAGGAGCACATGCTATTGGGAAAATGGACTGGTAGACTGGCTCCATGCAGGGTTGCCGCAAACCTCCAATTTGTTTTTAAAAAAAAAAAAAGCCACACATACACAATATCTGCAAAGCACAATAAAGTGAAGCATAATAAGGTGAGGTTACCTATAAGACCCAAATTCCTGCAGAAGCTTATGGTTCCTTAAATTAAACAAGTCTCACTGAGACTCTTTTTTAAAAATTAGGTCTCTCTGAGCCATGGTGGTGTTTACACCCTGAGCCAAGGTGTTGCAGTAAAGTTGGTGAAAAGGAAGAATGTCTTTCTTTTGTAAGAGGATGAGGGTGGTTTTGAGAGGAGAGGTTAGCTGAAGAAGTGGCATTGGTGTTTGAAATGGAGTTGTGTCATTAAGAAGCTCATATTCAGGAAGGAGTGAGTATGGAATTAGGATCTGGAAGCCAACTCCCTAAAACTTCATGTACAGTTGGAAGGAGTTCAGGTACCAACAGGCTATTAGCGTGTTCTGATGGCCTAAGGAGCAAATGTCCCAGATCGTTTGATGCACGAGTTGCTGTGCAGGTTGACCCTTATGCACCTTTCTACATCCTAACACCGGTGCCCTCCCAAGCCAGCACACTGTTTCTAGCTATACTGAACTGTCCTCTGAAGTCCTTGAGATTCATACTTCTTTGTTCTTTTTTCTCTGTTCTCAGCCTCAAGCTTCTATTTCTCCTTCAGCATCCTGCTCACTTCTGTCTTCTGTGAGCTGCAATGAACCTTAAAGATAGAATTACTTATTTTGTTCACATGCTCCCTAAGTATTTTATATTTTCCTTGAGTGCATGTCTTTGTATGTCTCTTTAAGGACACTGACCACCATATTACATTTCTATATCCTCAGCACTTTGTACAGCAATCCCTAGCACATAAAGGATATGTAAATGAATAAATGGCTCACACTACACTACTCTGCAACATACTACACTGCAATACAGAAAAAAGGATTTTGGAAGCTGTTGGTGAAACCTAGACAGGTTTTGAAACAAATAAAAATCAACCATTAGCACTGTCAAAGCATTAAGTTAATTGTCTGTCTTATTAACTTACCATTGTAGATGCCATTACAACGTGGAATAAGTTGAAGATACTTTATTCATACCAGGTATTTTTTTGGATGAGATAAAGAAATGGAAGACAGTAAGAATACAGACTGTTGTCTTATTCTGCTGGGTGAGGCAAAGCGATACATCAGTGCAGGGTGAGAGCATATGTTTGGCTCAGGCTATGTATGCTCTCATTGGATGTGGTTGAGTAACCATAGACTTTTCATCCAAAAGTTGTTGTTAGGGATTATTGAGTCTTACTCTTGACTTGTCAGATGAGGGAATGGAAGCAAAGAGAAATAATGGTAGTTGTAGGGCTATGCAGTCTTTTGGAATGTGGTCGAAGTATTACTTAAAATTCTTTCTAGTCTTAAAACTAGGTTGGTAAAAAATTATATAACTTTTCGTTTCTCTTATTCCTTTCTGTGCACTTGATTTTTTTTTAAATTGATTTCTTTGTTTATGTGGCTGACATTTCCAATCCCTGTCATATATCAGGAGCAGTGCTATGTGCTGAAGATACAGAAATAATTATATACTATCCTTCCAGATTTAGCCTTGTAATACGGGTGGACTTAAAAGTGCCTGGAGAAATAGAAATGAAATATAAAAGTAAAATCTTTATTTTTCAACATAAGACCCATCAAATTCAAGACACTTTTGTAAGTGATGGTACTGGCATTATAGTCCATTTCTAAAAAATGCAGGTCCTGGGAATTTAAACATGTCAATGCAATCTTCTTTATGTTATTAAAGAAAATGGATGCCCTTTATAGATCTTTTAGATTAGGAAACACAAAGAAGTCAGAAGGAGCCAAATCAGGACTGTAAGGTGGGTGCCTAATGATTTTCCATCAAAACTCACAAAATTGCCCTTGTTTGATGAGTGGCATGAGCAGGAGCCTTGTCATAGTAGAGGACTCTCTGGGAAGGCTTTGGTTAGCTTTTTCAAAACACTCTCATGATAAGCAGATGTTACTGTTTTTGACCCTCCAGAAAGTCAACAAGCAAAAGCCTTGAGCTTCCTACAAAGCTGTTAATCATGACCTTTGTTCTTGGCTCATCCACTGTTGGACTGGATTGGGTCTGTCTCTTGGTAGCCATTGCTTAGGTTGTGCTTTGTCTTCCGGTTGGTACTGGAAAAATCACAGTCCATCTCTTGCTACAGTTTTTTGACAAAATGCTTCTGGATCTTGATCCCACTTGCTTAACACATTCACAATTGGCACATTTTTCACTTTCCTAATATTGAATGCAGGTGAAAATTAAAAAAATCTGAAGCCAATTGTTACAAACGTCTGTCGTTAAGCCCAAGCAAAATGGTCTTTTCTAAACTGTCACCTTTTTCACAGTACAGCTGAAAGTTGCAGACATATCCAGTATTTGCCTCAGACACCACTCTGACTAGCATTCCATACTTTATATTTTTATTTGAATTATAAACCCAAAAAGACCGTCTTCCACGATGAGGTAAATTCACATCACCAGCAACCAGGAACAGAATTTGGAATGATGTAAATTCACATCAGTGATCGTGAATTAGTTAACATTACCATGTAAAGCCCTTTTCTCTGCGGCTGATCTGGGTGCGATGGCTTTGGTACCCATCAAATGGAAAGTTTGCTCAACTTTAATTTTTCATTCAGAATTCTGTTAAGCTGAACCAGTGAGATGTCTGTGCTGTTGGCTGCTGTTCCTGCTGTTGATTGTCAGTCCTTTCAATTAAGGAATCAACAAGGTAATTTTTTTCTTGTAAATTGATGTGAAAGGTGTGCCGCTGTGGGCTTCATCTTCAACATGGTCTCATCCTGTCTTAAAATGGTCTATCCATTTGTAAGCTGCGGGTTTCTTTGAGGCCTTGTCCCCAGAAGCTTTTTGCAAGCTTTTCCATATATTTTATTCACTATTGTTTCAATTTTAGCAGAATTGATGTTGCTCTAATAGTTCTTTTCAAACTGATGTCTTACCTTTCCTAGTTCCTCAAACTAGATCCTGTTCAGAGATAATAGCAAGTTACTGTGAGTTTATTTTGGTGCAGAAAATAACTGAAACTCAGTTTTTTTCTTAATATGCATTTTCCACGAACTTTTGAAGTTCCTTTGTATTGTCAAGCTGACTGGGACTGATTGGGAGCTTGAAACTTTACCTTCAGAGAATGCAGGGAAGGAACTAACAAAAATTGATTCATCTTGATTCCTTTCTTTGGCTCCTGATAGGACTTAGACATTGTAGGTAGGCACTTAATAGAGCTTTATTGACCAAATAAACATCAGTGATACATGTGTATATATGCATGAGTGCATGTTTTGTGTTTGCTTTTGAGTTAAGCCACTTCCATGCTCAAATTTTTTTAAGTCCAAGGGCATTACTTTCCAGTAATTTGAACTCTTTCTAATGTAGCGAAGGTGACTTTGAGATAGCACTGCTATCTCCAGCATGTGTGCGTGTTCATAAGGAGCTAAATGCAAAACTTGACAGGAAAGAAGAGTCAAATTGCTTTTACTGGGACTCACAAACTTCCTTTGCATAGAGGATACATTGTTTATAGAAAAGTTGAGGCTACTCTGGTCCTTCTGTTTCAAATACAAGCACAATCTAATTAAGAAAGGTAGATTTATTAAAGGAAAGACACATTGTGAAGGGCACAGTGGTCAGGAGAGCAGCAGGAGTATCTGCTGTCTGTTACCGTGCTACTGATTTTTTATTGAAACTTTAAAAAGTGGTAATGCTTAGACCACGTTTCATTTTCAGGTTGCTGAGCTGTAGGGCATTAGGAGTCAATGTTTACTTAAATTTGACTGAAAGTTTAAGGCCAGAGAAGCAAAGGTGGAGGAATTTTAAGTCATTTTCAATCATCCTGGGGGAAAAAAAAATTTTACTCTGAAAAACCCAAGTGAGGTATGGTAAAGGCCATGTGTTCCTGCAGTGATGTTTTAGCAATATGGCATGGGGTGTGTGCTACAAATTACAGGACCATTGTTTTGAAAATTACAAACTGGCTTCTACATCTGTTTTTTTAGGCAGCTTAATTATCGGCCAGAAGGAAGGCTGGTCATTCTAGGATGTTTGAAAAAGTGCTCTAATGATTTCCAGGCACAGAGGAACCTTGAGGCACTGCCACAAGGGTGGAAAAGGAGTCCCAGATCTTCTTTGTCCTTTTAAGGGTCCCATCTTAGGGCTGGCTTCAGAATCTGGAGGCTCCACAGTTAGCACCAGGTGGTTAGGGCCAGAGGGAACAGAGATTTACAGATGACAGACTGAGATAACTGACCTTAATTATTTTTATGTAAATCTAATGAGTCATGAAAGAGCCTCCTTTTGCTGGGAGGAGTTAACTAATCTCATGTTTTATGGTACTAGTTTGTTCAACTTTGGGGGCATAGTAATTGTTACAGGGTCAGTAACTTTTACAGTAAAATTCTGTTTCTGAAAAAATTAAGCATTAAATTCTCTGATCACTACCTACTTTTGTACCAAACACTTTTTAAATGTTATTGTCAATTCTATAAAACCTTGAAAATAACAGTTGCGGGTTTCACAGATGATAAAACTGAGGTTTAGAGAGATTAACTCCGGGTCACTCACTGAGTAAGTGGCAGCGTCAGACGTGGTCCTGGGCCCCTTCTCCTGCTCCACCACTGCCTGCCATATATGTTGCTTCAGGTGACATCCTGCACCTTCCAGATGTGAGTGCATATTGATAGTTAGGAAAAAATACAGATGCATGTTCACATGTGTGTCTGTTAACATATTTCTGTGCTTTTAATAAGACACTCTAGAAGTTTAATGTATCATAGAATAGCTGGTCAGCAATGCTATGGGCAATGAGCACAGCTTTACCCAGTCACTGCCTCTGCTAGGACACACGTAGGCTGAGGCTTTTCAGTATGGCGTCTGCATCGCCACATTCCATTACTCAGAATCCTTTCCATCTGGATGTCACATACAGATTACTCATCCGGTAATTTGTATTAAGCATACCTCTAGAAACCAAAGCACACTGGGTCTCAAAGATCTGAATTTATTCTCAGTGATTTACTGACATTAGGCAGTAGAAAGTGTTGTACTTAAAGGATTAAGAAAAACATGGAGAGAGGAGTGTCAGTTAAGAGGCATGACAGAAGAAGAAGTCTAGGGAGGAGAGGAGGACCAGCCTGTCACCTCGCCGTCAGTCCCAGTTTCATGTCTGTGTATCCATCCAGAATCAAGACAGTGGAGATGCAGGTCACATTTATGCATTTGAAGTTCTCCTCAACATATACACACAGGTACTTTATGAAGTCAACAGGATGTCGAACTAAGTGTATCCATATCCAGTCTGTGCATTTCGTATGGGTCTTGGAGAAGTTGGATTCTTTCTTCATTTTATAGTGCTCTATTTGTTGAATGTATTCATTCTTTTAATGGTAAAACAGCAGTTTAAGAACCTTTATCTGTTTTCTGTCTTGTAGCCATTGTGAGCCATATAATTTTAGAATCTTAACTGTGTGTTCAAGTCTTTCCAAATAATAATATATCGGTTAGGCCGGGCTTGGTGACTCAACCTGTAATCCCAGCACTTTGGGAGGCTGAGGTGAGTGGATTGCCCGAACCAACAAGTTCGAGACCAGCCTGGGCAACTAGACGAGACCTTGTCTCTACAATTTAAAAAAAAATTAGCCAGGTGTAGTAGTGTGCACCTCTAGTTCTGGCTACTTGGAAGGTTGGCAGAAGGATCACCAGAGCCCGGCAGGTTGACGCTGGGATGACTGTTGCACTCGCAACAGTCTGCGCAACGGAGTGAGACTCCAACTCAAAAAAAAAAAAGAATATTGGCTAGAAATCTGAGATATACAGTATGCTTTTAATTCTGAGAGGAACAAAAGAAAGTGAAGCTGCTGATTACAACTTTAAATCAGGTGTAGGTCCCACTTTTTGAGAAATAAAAAGCCCAAGCATTGTTAAATGAAATCTCTAAATGAAATCTCTAATTACCCTGTAGCACCTGTGAAAGTACAGAACAAGCTTGGTCGTTTAACAGAATCTGTAATTACTATATGTTTTCTTAAATTTAGTACTATTTTGGGAACAAGCATTGTTTTTTTTCTTAATTTAACAAATATTTATTCCCTGCCTAATCTGTAAAGATGCTCACATGGAGAGTTCTCATTTGGACAGATTACATCTCTTTTATTTTTGAAATAATTCAGAATTAATGGTCCAGTTGTCAAGAAAACTTGTTTCTGTTTCACATTCAGTGACGAAGAGCGATACAGATACAGGGAATATGCAGAGAGAGGCTATGAGCGCCACAGAGCCAGCCGGGAGAAGGAGGAGCGGCACAGGGAGAGACGCCACCGGGAGAAGGAGGAGACAAGGCACAAGTCGTCGCGAAGGTATGCTCTGCATGAGATGGTGTACCCGTTAAGCTTAGTGAGAACTTGGTGGGGCCTTAGGCAGTAAAGGCAGCCGCTTCCAGATAATGATTAGAGCATGTGTTATCCGTGGGAAGGTTCAGAATAATCTTGAAATAGTTGGTTCTCATGAGGGCTTCCACAGACATCTTTATTTATTTATACTTTTTTGTTTTTTTGAGTTGGAGTCTCACTTGGTCGCCCAGACTGGAGTGCAGTGGCTGCTCCCGGCCACCGCAGCCTTGCCTGCTGGGCTCCGGTGATCCTTCCGCCTCAGCCTTCCGAGTAGCTGGAATTACAGGCATGCGCTACCACGCCCAGCTGATTTTTGATTTATTGTAGAGATGAGGTCTCACTGCCCAGGCGGGTCTCAAACCTGTGAGCTCAGGCAATCCACTCACCTCAGCCTCCCAAAGGCGCGGGATTACAGGCTGAGCCACCGAGCCTGGCTCCATAGACATCTTTAAATCCAACCAGACTACATTTAAAACCAAATCCCAGATTAGCACAGAATAAAAAATAGTATATGAGAGATTTTGACTTACTACATTATATCATTGGAAGAGGAGAAATTTTGGCCAAGAACCAATCTTTAATAGTAAATATTACTAAAGCAATATTTGGTTTAATTAAAAAAAAATAAAGCCAGGCTCGGTGGCTTAGCCTATAATCCCCGCGCCTTTGGGAGGCTGAGCTGAGTGGATTGCCTGAGCCTGTGGGTTCGAGACCCACCTGAGCAACTTGGCGAGACCTCATCTCTACAATAAATCAAAAAATCAGTCGGGTGTGGTAGCGCATGCCTGTAATTATGGCTATTCGGAAGGCTGAGGTGGAAGGATCGCCGGAGCCCAGCAGGTCGAGGCTGCGGTGGCCGGGAGCGGCCACTGCACTCCAGTCTGGGCGACAGAGTGAGACTCCAACTCAAAAAAAAATAACTTGGCTGGGCTCGGTGGCTCAGCCTGTAATCCCAGTGCTTTGGGAGACCGAGGTGAGTGGATTGCCTGAGCCCGCGGGTTTGAGACCCACCCGGGCAACTTGGCGAGACCTCAACTCTACAATAAATCAAAAAAATTAGCCATGCGTGGTAGTGCGTGCCTGTAATTCCGGCTACTCGGAAGGCTGAGACGGAAGGATCGCCAGAGCCCAGCAGGTCGAGGCTGTGGTGGCCTGGCGCGTGCCACTGCACTCCAGTCTGGGCGACGGGGTGAGACTCCAACTCGAAAAAAATACAATTGATGACTCCCAGAATGTGCTTGTGAGAAGAAAATGCATTTGATTTGAGACCCAGTGTTCTCTTGAGAATTTGCTTAGAGTGGGTTTATTTTTGTCACTAATTGTGTATTAAATACTTAAGCAGAGCCCACCTTTCTTATTTTCCAGTAATAGTAGACGCCGCCATGAAAGTGAAGAAGGAGACAGTCACAGGAGACACAAGCACAAAAAGTCCAAGAGGAGCAAGGAAGGGAAAGAAGCTGGCAGCGAGCCTGCGCCAGAGCAGGAGAGCACCGAGACCGCCCCCGCTGAGTAGGCGGCTGGAGAGACTGGGCTGCCCCGTACATAGTAGGACCCAACATGGAAGCTGTAGAGCTGATTGTTTTTCTGGATAATGTTTAAGAAATTTACCTTTAATCTTGTTCTTTTAGTATGAGAAGTTAACGTTTTTTTCCAAATAAAAGAGTAAATTTTTCATGTTAAGTTAAAAAATTTTTGTCTTGTAATATTTAAAAAATAAAAAGACAGCAATGACTTTATAACCAAGAAAGTAATGTGAATGGTTACTCGTCAGGGAATTTGAAGAACTGTGTTCATCTTGGAACACACAGTGTCTGTAGAGGTCAAGTCTCCTACTACTGCAGTCTTGTTAGCCAGACCCTTACCTCTGAGAGCAGCAGCAGGCATCAGGGCTGAGGCATGAGACAGAAGCTCATCACAGTACTGTGGTGGCCCTCCCGCTTAGTGTATCAAGGCCTTGACAGTTTTTACTTCACAACTTTGGATAGCAGGTTTTCAGTGCTTTAAAACTAAATGGGGCACTTTCATATCCAAGTTCATTAATAAAGTCTGTAAAGCGTCTGGGTGGCCTCTAGGAAGCAGCCCACCTTTCATGTGGTTGTGGCAGGCGCACACACGCACTTGTCACTGTGACACTGCTGGAGTCACCTGGTGGTTTGTCCATGTGAGCCAGGGCAAGTCCGACTTGGCTTTTCTTAACACATTTTCCAAAGCTTGTTCGTAGAGCAGATCATGTAGTTTTAACAGTTACTAACTATTGTGGGAAAAAATAAACGTAAAGGCAAATGATTCAGATTAGTCATTTCTTATTAAGCCTAAGGAAACACAAGTTCATAATTCTTTGAGCACCTTTAAGGGTAACCTTAGGAGGTATTTGTCAGGGATGGTAACAGAGAACATGGCATTTGCAAAAATAAATTACTAGGACCTTTCACATGAAGATAATAGAAGTGACTTTAGCATCACATATTAAAAACAACTCTAATTTTTGAAAAATATTTATTTTTGATGAAAGGAACATTTATCAGCATTACATTTAAAAAAATCTTTTGGCTTTAAATTAAAAATGCCCATAATGTACCCTTTGCAGACCTCAGCATAACCACATTTTAAATTAAAATCAGTTTGAATTCAGTGGAGCATACACATCATTGTAGCTGTGTAAGGGTGCTTTATTGAATAGAAAAATATAAACTCAAAGCTGTGGAGTCACAAGAAATCCACACTAATAAAACCTATTAGTAGTCTTTATTTTTTCAGTTTTCTGCTGCGCAACTGGCTTTCATTAGATCATACTTTTCCTGACGTTTTTATAATATATTAAAAAATTGAGATAAATATGTTGTTTTGACTTAGCCTATTTGTGATTTTTCTGGTTTTCTTGAATCCGTCATCAGTTCTATAAAAAGGTGCCGGGCCAGGAGACAATCGTGAGAGTAATTCTTCCTTTAAGTTCTTTCAGCATCCTTGCCAGGCAAGCGTGTGTCATTCCTGCAGTACTTCTGCCATTGACTGCAAGGAGGATGTCACCACACCTGAGAGACAAAATAAGATACAGCAGTCGTTATACATAGCTGAAGTTAGTGCAAGTTTATTTTGGTGGTCCTAGTTGTTGCTACATTTTAATTACTTCTCATTTAGACTTTTCCTCTCCTCACTTAAATTCTTCAGTCACTTCCCTGCCTGTTCAGCTTGCATTAGAAGACATGCTAAAGGATGGCAAGTTGCGGTGTGGGACCAAGGCAATGGGTGGTTACTCTGCATTTCCTAGAAGCCAAATACTGTATAAACATTTTTAGTTCTTATCTCCCCTCCAAAGTACAGTAAATACATGCCTTATTTCAAATGGGGCCAAGCTTTTGCACGTATAAAACAAAATACGTGAATGTAAGCTTTTTGTGAAGTCATTATTACCTGATTCTCCCATCGTTGTATGCTGGAGTTCCTTCAACGATAGATTTGATGAAAAAAGGCTTGTTCCCACTGTATTCTTCATAACCTCCTACGATGCAGAAGCCCAGGCTCCCAGCTGTGTTTCTTCGTAATGTAACATCTTTACAATTACACAGGAACCTGGAATGGAAGGCAGTCAGGTATGTGCACGAGTTCAACTATTAGTACTTCTTGTATTCATCTCCCATTTCTTCCTCTGGCATTTTTCTTTTTTAGGCTAAGTAGCACTGAGCAGGTCCACTCAAATCCATATCCTAGTGTGGAGGCCTTTATACTGTTAGCTGACTTTTTGTAATTGAACCTCTTTTCCACAGCTGAACACCCCCAGAAGAAACGACACTGCTGACTGCTGCTGTTTGTATGTGGACTGGAAAAGGTAATCATACTTTTGACTTAATGCTTGAATTTGTATTAGCAAAAAGTTGGATATGCCTAAGTCCTTATTGATAAACCAGATTTAAATAAACATGGGTATCATATTTTTATTTACTGGTGGATATTTTTAATGAAAGCAAAAATCCTTTGAATAAATGATTAATCTCAAAGAAATGATATAAACCTAACCCTAATTGATAAATTTATGGAAGTTTTTTTGACCTTTGAAACACAGTAGTTTATACTTGGTTCTACATGTGTGATAGGTAGAAGCATAAAGTAGATGGAAATTTAGGTATATTTAAGGATGTTAAGAACAGTTCACACAGGAGGAAAACCGAACGCAGTAAACTCTGAGACAAAACGGCTCATTCTGTAGATGAGAGAGAAACCTCAACTAAAGTAGAAAGTGAGGTTGAAGGACTCTTGATTTACTGTTGAGGTGCAGGCCTAGGGCGGGCTGTTGAGAGACTCCATGGTGTTGTCAGGAGCCAGACTGAAGACCTGGCCTGTGTAGCTGTAGCCCAGGCACGGGTGTGAAGGGATATCAGTGTTTTTGTGTTGGTAAAAATCAGGATACAGCTGTTCTGTTTAACTGTACCTTCAAATATTAACTTCTTTTTAAAAAAACTGTCTTTTGGGAAATGTCAAATGGTAGAGTTCGTCATTACATTTGTTGACAGTCTTGCTAATTAGTTTTCATGATACTGCTGATTCTCACTTGGAATAAAACAAGCTTTAGGGTCTGGCGAATACCTTTAAAATGTAGTGCTGAAAATCAACTCTGCCCAGTCTGAATCCATTGTCATACATATGTGTCATTTATAACAATCTGTTTCTTTCACTGAAATCATGACTGAAAAGTAAGAATTTCATTAAATTTCTTTTTTTATCATAAAATATGTATCTGTTGTATTTCACAGTAGACCCTGGTGTCAGTAGTAAATTCGTCCTGTAGTAGCTGTGGCTTGTCAGATACCACAGTTTTACATAACGCTTCACTGACTGAATAGATTGACTGTTCTGTAGACACCAAGGCATCACATTCCCACCTTGGGGCTGTGTGCCCAGTTCTTTTGAGAAAAGAGGTAAAGAGATGATTGTTATCCAAAGTCATGATCAAGTATCTGGCTTAACATTTCCCAGGTGTGATTCTTTGAAATATATAAATGAGTATAGGGCAGTATTTGAAACTGTCAGTGTTGCTCATTCTCTTGATCACTGATTGCTTCTTTTCATTATGTATCTCCTTGGATCTTACATCAACTCTATTTCATTTCATATGGATAAGCTGTAAATATAACCATCCAAAACTTTACATGTTCCAGTATAAAAGTTTTTAACCTAATATTAAATCATGAGTGTTTCCTTTCTTAGACCCTTGATCCTGTGGTGTTTAAACAAAACCCAAAAAGCCCTGTCCTCCTGAATCATGTCACCCAAGTAGATACCAGTGTTAACTAGTATTGTTTCACTAAGAGTCTTTTCCTTTAGTGCGTTGAGTATTTAACTTTATTGCAGCAGCAAGAACTCAATGTTAAACCATTTTAAAGTCAGACCTTCGTTAGTTGATCCTGATGGGCATTTTTTCTTAAGTTAGGGTTTTTCGACTCCCTATTAGGAAATATGTCAGCTCTATTTGATCAATTAACTTTCAGATAGATATTAAGTAACTTAAAACTCTGAATACAAATGTGAAGTTCTTTTTCTTATTCTGAACTCATTTTCCAAATTTAAGCCTAATCAAAGAAGATTTGGCATAGTATAAGGTAGAGCAAGGAGTTTGTTAATTTTTCCCATTGAGAAAATTATGGTTACCTCAAGAATAAATTTAACTTCATTGAAGTTCTGACATGGAAGTGAGAAACAAGAGACACTAAAGTAAGCACACAGCTTACAGACCATATCAATCACCCACAAAAACTGAGACCATTAAGTGCCTCCTCTATAACACTGTAATAGGAACAAACCCTCACATAATAACTATAGAAACACTGAATAGTAATGGTATTAATGCCCCCACTTAAAAGATATAGTGGCAAATTGGACTTTTGCTGTCTCCTGGAGACCCATCTCACCTCTAATGACACTCAGAGGCTCAAGGTAAAGGGATGGAGAAAAATCTACCATGCAAGTGGAAACAAAAAAGAGCAGGGGTTGCTGTTCTTAGATAAAACATACTTTAAGCCAATAAAAGTAAAAAGACAATAGCACTACAGAATGATAAAAGAGCTTGATTCAACAAAAATGATCTATTTTAAATATATATGCACTCAACATATATAAATCTGGAGCACCCAGATTTATAAAACAGCTACTTAACCTGAGAGAACACCGCTGCACCACAACACTGGGGGACTTCAACAACCCATTAATAGCTTTTGGCAGATCATCAAGGCAGAAAACTAACAAATAAGTCCAGGACTTAAATTCAATATTCAAACAATTAGATCTGGCAGACATCTACAGAACATTTCACCCAATAACTATAGAATATCCCTTCTCATTTGCACACGGGTTATACTCCAAGATTGACCACATACTTGGTCATAAATCAACCTTGAATCAATTCCAAAATCTTGAAATCATACCAAGCATCTTTGCTGACCACAGTGGAATAAAACTAGAAATCACCAAGAAGAATACTCAAAAACACAGAAATAAATGGAAATTAAGCATCTTGCTTCTGAATGATTTTTGGGTAAATGAAATAAAGACAAATTTTAAAAATCAGTTGAAACAAATGAAAAGGTACAACATGCCAAAACCTCTGGGGCACAGGCAAATCAGTGATGGCAGGAAAATTTATTGCACTGCACACCCACATCATGAAACCAGAGATATCTAACAACATTGTAACATCTCACCTAAGGAAACTAGAAAAAGAGGAACAAACTAAAACCAAAACTAACAGAAGTAAATAAATCAGCAGAAATAAATGCAATTAAGACCAACACACACACACAGGATTGAGTAAAAAAGCTGGTTCTCTGAAAGGATAAGATGGACAGATCCCTGGCCCAATTAACAAAAATAAAAAAGAAAATACAAATAAATGTACTTGGAAATGAAAAAGGTAGCATTATAACTGACCCAGGAGAAATACAAAAGATTATGTGAGATTATTATAAATGTCCATATGCATGCAAATTAGAAAATCTACAGGAAATGGATAAATTCCTGGAATCACACAACATCCCAAGATTGCAACAGGAAGAAACTGAAACTTTGAATGGGCCAATAATGAGCCGTAAAATTGAAACAGTAAAAATAAATTTGCCTACCAAAAAAAAATCTGGGACCTGATGGCTTTACTGCTGAATTCTACAAAGAAGAGCTGGCACCAAAACTACTAAAACTAAATACTAAACTAAATACTAAAACTATTTCAAACAATTAAGAGGATAGGACTTCTCCCTAACTCATTCTATGAAACCAACATCACCCTGATACCAAAAAGTGGCAAAGACACTACAAAGAAACAAAACTACAGATCAATTTATCTGATGAACATAGATGCAAAAATCCTCAACAAAATTCTAGCAAACCTCATCTGACAGTAAATAAATTATCTGTCATGATGAGGTGGGATTCTCAGAATGCAAGGCTAGTTCAACATATGCAAATCAATCGATGTAATTCACTACATGAGCAGAAGTAAAAACATGGAATACATGATTATCTCAATAGATATAGAGCAGGCACCTGGTAGAATCCAACATCCCTTCATGATAAAAACTCTCAATCATTGAAGGAAAATTCCTCAAGTAATTATCCCTCAAAATAATAAGAACCATCTAAGACAAACCCACAGCCAACATCATACTTAACAGACAGAAGCTAGAAGCATTCCCCCTAAAAACTAGAACCTCTCACCACTCTTACTTCACATAGTGCTGGAAGTCCTAGTCAGAGCAATCAGGCAGGAGAAAGAAAAGGTATCCAAATAGGAAAAGAGGAAGTTATCTCTCTGTAGATGATGTGATTCTACATGTCTAGAAAACCCTAAAGAGTCCATCAAAAGACTAGCACTATAAGCAACTTCAGTAAAGTCTCAGGTTACTAAGTCAACGCTCAAAAATCAGTTGTGTTTCTGTATACCTACAGCATTCAAGCTGAGAACCAAATCAAGAGCACACTCCCATTAACAACAGATGCATACACACATCTGGGAATACGTTTACCAAAAGAGGTGAAAGGTCTCTACAATGAGATGACACAAGCAAATGAAAAAACATTCCATGTTCATGGATTGAAGGAATCAGTATCATTAAAATGTCCATATTGCCCAAAGCAATCTACAGATTCAGCACAGTCCCTTTCAAATTACCAGCATCATTTTTTACCAATCTAGTAAAAACAATAGCTAAATTCACATGGAAGCAAGAAAGAGCCCAAATAGCCAAAGCAGTCCTAAGCAAAAAGAACAAAACTGGAGGCATCACCATATCAGACTTCAAACTTCACCACAAGGCTACAGTAACCCGTTGGGGGAAGAACAGACACAAGCCAGTGCCATAGGTGACATGTCTGCCATCTGAAATACAGCCCTGGCTTCTGCCCTGTGTTGTGATGGCCAGGAAAGTTTACTTGCGAGGGTGAGTTTACTACCACTGCGTTTGTGTATGTGTATGTGTATAAACTTGAGACGGAGGAAGCAGCCACAGCCCAGCCCACCACCTGCTTCTCCAAGTCACACTGTCAGAGTACAGCCACAACCACCCACTGCACAGAGTGAAGTAGCTGCCACAGAGATGGCGTGGCCTCCAAAGCCTAAACTATCAGGCTCTTTTCTAGAAAAAGGCTGCCAGTCTCTGACACACTCCCTGGAAAAATGCACAAGACACTGGAGCCTGTGGCCATCTCTCCTGATTGGAGTGAGGGCCACAGGGGAGGAAGCCTCCCTTTCTCCCCTTTTTATGCTCTTTGGTACTCTTGAATCTTGTGCTGTAGGGGAGGAGCTTCCTACCAGGAGAGGAAGAAGAGAGGGAAGTTAAGCCACCCCAGGGTTCTGAAAATCAGTGTTGTCTACACATCCTTTACTATCTACATAGAAATGAGCAGTTAGGCTGGGCGCAGCAGCTCATGCCTGTAACCCCAGCACTTTGGGAGGCTGAGGCAGGAGGATCGCTTGAGGCCAGGAGTTCAAGACCAGCCTGGTCAACATAGCAAGACCTCAGCTTATTAAAACAAAACAAAACAAAAAAGGTAATGAGCAAAGTCAGATGATACAGCAGAGAAGCGCCATGCCCAGGGCAGACAGCTAGAAGTGGGGGTAGAGAAACCACCTCGTCGGTTGTACTTGGAGTTAAAAAAGGTACATCCCATGTTCCTCTCTTACATGGATGGATGAGGAGGTGTGGCTTGGGTTACATGGCAAATTAGCTGTCAAACACAAAAAACAAAAAATGGCTTATTTTGATAGATTCCAGTTTCAGAAAATTTTTATAAAATAAAATTGTATTTAAAGTAACACTCTTGGGCACAGTGGCTCACGCTTGTCATTCCAGCACTTTGGGAGGCCGAGGTAGGAGGACTACTTGAGCCCAGGAGTTCAAGAGCAGTCTGAGCAACATAGCAAGACCTCATCTCTACAAAAAATAAAAAAATTCGCCGGGCATGGTGGTGCATGCCTGTAGTTCCAGCTACTCAGAGACTGAGGATTACCTGAGCCCAAGAGGTGGCACAACTGTAGTTGCCATGATTGTGTCACTGTACTTCAGCCTGGATGACAGAGTGAGACTCCAAAAAAATTATAATAATAAAAATTAAAGTAACACTCTCTTCTTCCATGCAGGTGCAGTTCTCAAATGTTCAATGATTTTTAAGCTGCCTCAATGCTCAGTTTTCAACTGTTTAAGGATTTTAAAAAATTGATTAATTTAAAAAATGATTTAGCAACTAGTTACTGCTCAAAATGGCATCCAGATCAGTTTGTATTTGAGGCAGAGAAATTTTTTTGACGCCTAATTTGAAATAAAAGAAAAAAGGAAGAAAGAAGAAGAGACATATCTCCACCCTTAAGCAAAATGCGCTGAAGCTATTTGTCCCACCCTCATTTGTTCTTGTTTCACTCCATACTAGGTGATCATCTTCCGTGACTCTAACACTTAACATTTATGCCGTGCACTGGGGGCAGCGAGGCTACCCTTTGAAGGCCAACAGCTGATGCTCTAATGCAGGGTGTAAAGGCCAAGTTCTTTGGTTCTGCATATTTAATTTCTGCAGATGCCATCAAGGAGGCTGGCCCAAGTCCTCTCCTGAAGTGACTGTGTGAGTCACGCAGCGGCTTCCTGCAAGGCTCCAGCGATCCCTCCTTAAAATGATGCCAGTTCCTTCTTGAGCTCTGCAGGGCAGGTATCGAGGAGGGATGACCTGACAGCCGGCCCTGACCAGCAGATGCACAAACTCTGGGTGGAGGCAGGTCCTGTGAGCTGACCTCCCCCAGGTGTCCAGCACCACACACACAAGGCCAGGCAGCTCTCCTGGCTGGGTGGAGGCAGGTCCTGTGAGCTAGCCTCCCCTAGATGCCCAGCACTGTCCTCCATGTGAGGCCAGGTGAACCCTCCTGTCTGGGTAAAGCTTGGTCCTGTGAGTTGGCCTCCCCCAGGAGCCCAGCACTGCCCACACACAAGGCCAGGCAGCTCTCCTGGCTAGTGGAGGCAAGTCTTGTGAACTGGTCTCCCTGAAGTGCCCAGTGCCACCCACACACGAAGCCAGACAAGCTCTTCCCAGGTGCAGCTCCAGGTGTGAACACAACCAAGGCTCTGTCCCCCACCCGACAGCACTGTTCTCGCTGCATGAGCAACCCGGCAGCTGTACATGGCAGCCCACTCCACCTGAGTTGCCAGTGTTTCTGCATCCCAGCTTACATCAATGTCCTGGGATGTCCACAGGCATTTCCAGCTACCAGGGAAGGCAGAATGAGCTCCGACAGTCCCCAGCAAGACTGGGTCTCTTTGGCGGCTGGTGCCAGGATTCAGCCCCAAGTGCACAGGGTTCAGGATGCACCACCCTCCCTCCACTCCCTATGAGTGACACAAGGACTCACCGGGGAAGCTCTAGCCATGTGACCCAGGACGGGCCCCAGTCGCTGGACAGGGCTGCATCAGGGCTGGCATTCAGGGCTTGGCTGTTGCTGTCCTCCTGGGACATGTGCTCCTTGACTTCCAGGGCTCTGAGAACCACCGAGGAGCTTGCACTCTTCAGTAGGGCCACGGCCTCGCTCCGGCTGACCTCGGCCAGTTCAACCCCATTCACGCTCAGTAAGATGTCACCTAAGACCAGAGGGGCAGAGGTGGGCCTCACTGGGGGTAGGGACGGGACTTCTTGAAACACGGGGCGGGGATGAATGGGATTGGGATGTGGAGAGGGCGAGGGCACGCCAGGCCCGAGCCATGTGATGCTGGTTCTCACCAGTCTGTAGTGAACAGTGTGTGTGTCCTGGGGCACCATGAGCCTCGTCTGGGGTCTGGGGCTTTCTAGAGGGCACCTGCAGCATCTGGCTCTCAGGAGGGAGGGAGGGAGTGACAGGAAGGAGGGAGGGTGGGAGGATGGAGGGAGAAGTGAGAGGGGGAGGAAGGAAGGAAGGGAAAGAGGGAGGAAGGAGAGAAGGGAGGGAAGGAAGAAAGGAAGGAGGGAAGAGGGAGAAAGGGGAGGGAAGAAGGAGGGTGGGGGGAGGAGGAGGGGAGAAGAGAGAGAGGGAGGAAAAAAGGGAGGGAGGGAGGGAAGGAGAGGAGAGAGGAGAAAAGGAGGGGGAAAGGAAGGGGGGAAAGGAGGGACGGATGGAGGGGAAGGAGGCAGAGGCGGGAGGAGGATCAGCTTGTTCTCCACTTAATCAAGGAAACCTACTTCCCGGCACCCGTTGTTTCCTGCTTTTAACACACTGGGGCCCTGGACAAGGATCCGGCCCTCAGGGCCTGGGGTATGGCGAGTGCTGGCGAGTGAGGCTGAGGGGACTAGGTGAATGAGGAAGGCCCCACACATCGGGCTCAGGAGTGGAGCGGGGAAATCAGGCGGGGTGTGCTGGGAGCTGGAAGAAGTCGACGCTTCTATTCATGGCAAGGTGGGAACAGGCTGCGGCATACCCTCCATGTGAGGGACATGTCCCATGCCCAACACATCCTCACATTGTCACATCCTCAAACCCTGCCACATCCCCGCGCCCGACATGTCCCCATGCCCATCACATCCTCAGCACACGTCTTCCTGCTGACAAGCCGTGTTTGGCCTCCTCATTCTCTACGCAGGTGCTTGCAGAAAAGAGAAGTTAAAACACCCACCTCCCCACCCCCATTTTCTTTTTTTTCCATAGAACAGGATCTCACTCTATTCCCCCAGGCTGGAGTGCAGCGGTGCAATCACATTTCACTGCAGTCTCCACTCCCTGGGCTCAAGGGATCCTCCCACCTCAGCTTCCCAAGTAGCTGGGACAACAGGTGTGCACCATTATGCCCAGCTAATTCTTTTATTTTTTGTAGAGAAGAGGCCCCACTCTGTTGCCCAGGCTGATCTCAAACTCCTGGCCTCAAGCAATCCTCCTGCCTTAGCTTCTCAAAGCACTGGGATGACAGGCTGTGTACTGGGCACCCAATAAGTCACTACACTGACCCCCTCTGCCTGCTTGCTGCTGCTTGCCTCTCTCCTGCCTTTCTGTCTTTCTTGCATGCCGTCTTTCCTGTATAGAACCACCACAGTGGGAGCATGGGGTGGGGGGTGGAGGGGGGAGGGATGAGGGAGGCCTTGAGTCCTGAGGAAGACCTCCAGGGTCCCCAGAAGCTCTTCCAGACAAGCAGTTGGACTGTGGAAGCTTCACACTTTTCCTCTTGAGTCTGGACCTTCAATGACATAATTTCTCATCCATCTGAGCCATGCCTTCTTCATGAATTGACATCATTATCATTTGAGTTAGCATCTCACTCTGTTGCCCAGGTTGAAGTGCAATGGCATGATCATGGCTTACTGCAGCCTTGACCTCCTGGCTGTACTAGGACTACAGACATGTACCACCATGCCCACATTTTTTTTTTTTTTTTTTTGGTAGAGATGGGGTCTCTATGTTGCTCAGGCTGGTCTCAAACTCATGGGCTCAAGCAGCTCTCCCACCTTGGCCTCTCAATGTGTGGGATTACAGGTCTGGGTCACTGCACCCAGTTGACAATATTATTAAGGAAGCATATTTGTAGAGGCAAATTTGATGGCAGCTTCCTGTACTCAAAGCAACCCGGAACACATGAGCTTAAAGTAGTGAAACATTTTTCACCATGGGACAGTTCTTAGCTCTTTAGCACAATCCTTTTGTTTAATAAAGACTCATGGGCTCAAATCTATCCAGTGACTTCTTTTATCCAAGCCATAAAATGAACCACTTCACAAAGTAACTTCATCACTGGATCAATCCAGCAAAGAACTGCTGAGACTGAATGGAACCCAATGGTGCCATTTCACAGAGGCCACGTGTTCAAAGCTGTAGCAATTTCTTATTAACTCCTGGGACTGCTTGGAGGTTCCAGCTTTCCCAGCAGGCATGTTGGCCCACATCAAGCCACATGGACTCAGAGGAGTGAAGCCTGCCTGGTGTAGCAACTATACTCAAGTCAGTCATAGTCAGTGGTAACAGGAGTGCTGGCCAGACCACCCTCACGTTCTCTTGTCAGCTCTGGAAGCAGGTGCCTAACACAGCAAGTGGCCAACTCTTCTTAACATTCTGCCACCCCAGTGCCTGAAGTCCCTTCACTTTTTACCTGTTTTTATCCGTCCATCTCTGCTTATGACTCCGCCAGGCTCAACACTGATGACATAGATGGGCAAATCCCATTCCCCGTGTGATGCTCCCCCTGCAACGGTCATGCCGAGAGATTCGTTGGGGTCTTTCCGGACAGTTACCACCTTCTCAAGACAAGTAACTGCAGGGTGGAGGGGCTAAAGGCATAGACAGAAAAACACAGCACATGTGTTCATTCACACGTGGGCTTGCATTTTCTATATGCAAAAACTACCAACATTGCATAAGTTATCCAAATTGTATACACTGAATGGTGGTCTTTGAAGTTACAGAGAAAGACACATGAAGCAAACCCTCGCCTTCCCAACCCCTACCAGAATAAAGTCATATTATCCCAAATTATATAGGCTAACTCAGAGAAAGTTTATACTTCACAAGGGAACAACAAAAATGGAATGAGGGGCAGGCTGGAAACCACTGGAGACATATTATGCATGAAAGTGCGTTGCACCCAAACGCTCTCAAGTGAGTCACTTATTTCTGAAAGTGCTGAGTCAGTGTTTAAAAAAAAAAAAAACTTGTCATTTATGAATATCAGGAATTTTTTCTAAGTTAAAAAAAAATCGGTGGGTCATGGTGGCTCATCCCTGTAATCCCAGAACTCTGAGAGGCTAAGGCAAGAGGATAATTTGAGCCCAGGAGTTCAAGACCAGCTGGGGCAGCAGAGTGAGATCTCGTCTCTAAAAAAAAATAATAATCAAAAAATTAGCTGGGCATGGTGGTGCACACCTGTAAGTCCCAGATACTCAGGAGGCTGAGGCAGGAGGATTGTCTGAGCCCAGGAGGTCAAGGCTGTACTAAACCATGTTTGTGTCACTGTACTCCAGTCTGGGCAAATGGAGGGAGATCTGAGAAAGAAAGAAAGAGAGAGAGAGAGAGAGAGAGAGAGAGAGAGAGAGAGAGAAAAGAAAGAGAGAAGGAAGGAAGGAAGGAAGGAAGAAAGGAAAGAAAGAAAGAAAGAAAGAAAGAAAGAAAGAAAGAAAGAAAGAAAGAAAGAAAAAAAGAAAGAAGCAATCATACTTTATAGTCTTATTTCATACTTGTTCGGTGTTTACCCAACAGCCTTGCCTGCACTAAGCCAAGGGGTGTTCAGCTGAGCACCTTGGGGAGAACCCGGCAAAACATGTCCTGTGGCCTCATCTCCTGTGGCCACCTGCTTTCCACACCACGGGAGGCCTGTTAGCCATGGGAAAACCTATCTTCCAGTGACACCTTCACACCAGTGCCCTGCTGGCCGGGGAGGAGGCGCATGAAGTGTGACAAAGATGACCTTTCCCGTCTCTTCTCCCCACCCCATCCTGTGGACACCTCAGGATGTTGCCTGATGTTGAAGAACAGCATTCATGGTGATTGAAAATATCACAGCACCTTAGTATTTACCAGACTACAAAACACAGTTATACTTTAGAATATTTGCTTTGGAATTTTAGAATAACACATTCCAGACAAATAAGCAAGTATGAAGAATAAGAGACTGGTCATGCGTGCACTCAGAGCCCATACAGGAGGTGGACATCCTGCCTACAGCCCGCCCCTCGAGATGTCTCCTGGCCACATGCCTGCTTTGCTCCAGGTGCCCAGGCCGAATTGGAAGCATGGTGCTCCCCAACAACCCGCATATCCTGGTTTGCCTCCTCTGGTGTTTCTTTGAGTCATTTAAGCTCTTCTTTTCAGAAAGTCATGCTGCCCCCTAAGTCAGTTTCTGTAGAAACACAAAACATGAACCCATCTGTGAGCCGGATGTGTCTTAGTTTTACTTTAATTAGGCCACTTTGGAGAGGGCACTACAGAAGGCAGATGGAACATAAGTTAAAAGGAAAACAATGGTGTCTCCCACTGGACCAGTGTGTATGTTTCCAAGAATTAGGGCACGAGACAGGGTTGTGGCCAAAGCCTGAACTGACCCTGCGGCTCTTTCCAAAATTCACCATGGTGAGCAGAAGGGGCAGTGAGGGAGGGCTGGGTTTCCGGAGTTTAATGAATGAGAACATCACATGTACTAGTTAGTTCAACTAAGTCAGTTAATTGGATATAAACGTTGCCGACTAGTTAATGAAGTTCATAAGTTTTCCACTAATTATACTATCAGTTAATTTAAACACGCAAAGATAGTGAAAAGAAACCAGGGCGTTCTTATCCATAAGATGTTTTGGCAGGAATGCTTGGTCGGTCTACACTGTTTATTGTAAATAAACATGGATTTTGCGGATTACTGGGATGTGGCCAACCAGAGAATGGAAGGGGCGTGGCCAAGCGGAGATGGGAGGGGCGTGGCAAGCAGGCTGTCACGCAGGGAGTATAAAGCCCTCCCAGCATCCGAATTCTGTATAAAGCAGAGCCCTCCCAGCATCCGAATTCTGGGAAGAGCTGTTGCCTTCTGCTCAGAAAGTCAACCTGTGAGTCACTCCAGCCAGAACGCGCTTGATGGGGACGGAAGGCGCTCACTACTTGCCGTCGTGGGCAGGTGGCACCTGTAAGACAGCTGTTCAGTGATGAATGCTGCTGTGAAGCCAGAATCCAGCATAAGGGACTTACAGACACTCACGGTCATCCCCCAGCATGCGACAGCAAAGCAACAGTATGTGTGATGTGGAATGGACACCACAGCCAGACAGCGGGGCCAGCGTCACCCCAAACGGAATTGAGGGGTGGAATTCCCGACTGAGCTGTTACCTCATGTGAAGAGGCTACAGACCCGTCCTGGAGGCTGGTGCTACCCACAGACATGCTCTGCTCACCCACGGTGCTTCCAGGCATTTCTGATGTGAATGGCATAAGACAGGACCCATGGATTCTGCTTGGCCCTGGTTCCTATCACTCCCTAATGTCTCAAGAGCTTCAAGCATTCACATGATCTTCCTGGGCCCTTTGGCAAACACAGACATATTCAAAACAGCAGGTGAATCTTTATTCTAATTCCTAGGTAGGCTGGGAAATTAAAAAACCAGAAACCAAGCAAACCTCTTGTCTCATCTCAGAGTGAATGGAAACAGACCTTGAACAAAATGACTCTGGGCAACAACACGACATCTGTCTGGCTTAGACCAGAAGCAAGTCCTTGTTTGAGGTCTGAGGTCCACCAGGCTGCAGAAGTCTCCCCACCTCTCTCTCTCCTGCTCGAATGGGAGACACCTGTCATCTCACCAAACCTTGAGGATGGGGCTGTGGGCTTTTACTCAGTGTGTTTCTTAGTGACGAAGTCCAGTGATGACACTCAGAGATGCTCAAGGAAGCAACTGGCCTGAGAAGTGACTCCCAGCGGGAGAAGCGGGTGCCCCGGCCGGGTCTTACCTCTGGAGTGCTGCTCCTCTGCCCTGGCTCCGGGGATGGGCTGCCATGGGTCCAGCTAGCTTCCGGAGAGACGTCATGGATCTGCTGTCGAGCCGGGCGGGACACGATGAGGTGGACACATCTGTCACTGGCCTGGGTATAAGATGCAGGGGTCAGGTAGGCTCAGCTCCCATTCCCAGAGCGCCACGTGGGGTGCACCCTGGTGTGCCTCAGGGGTGAGAAAGCATGGGTTCTCATATTTTTGAATGCCAGTGCCCATTTTGTGATTCAACAACAGTGTGTGCATGATTGCCCATGCACTTGAGCTGGGGGAGATGGAGGGGTAGGGGGTGTGTGGATGTCACGCCAGTGTGGAAACCTGGGAACTGCTGGCTCCTTCATCTTTGAAAAGACGTCATGAGATATTGCTCATTTTTTTTTTTTGAGTTGGAGTCTCCACTCCTGTCACCCAGGCTGGAGTTAGTGGCTGCAGCCCTGCCACTGCAGGAAGTGAAATCCTGATTGACACGTCTGACTGTGTGGGTTGTTCTTCCAGGACTAAAGGCCGCTGGGATCTCAGATCTGTGGGGCAGAGAGACTGGACCTCAGATGTGAAACTGGCACACACGGGGGCTCGCTGCCAGCTGATGCACTCATCACATTAGTAAGAGTTGACAATATGTGGGGCAAGGCTGGACTTGAGTAGAAAGGTCTCCAGGAAAGACCAGGTTTGGCAGCAAAGAGGATGGAGGAAGAGGCGTGATGCTGGCGGTACTCTTTCCATCCCAGCCCCTACCCACTCACTGCCACAGACAGACACCAGCCTGCCCACCCCTTTCTGCACAGGTGAGGTTAGGCCACGGGATGAGGAGATCCATCACCCAGGAGGGCATGGGAAGCCCCTGCTCTCCCCAGTGCCTCTGACGATGGCAGCTGAGATGTTTGCTTCCTGCCCGCTCTGGTCTGAATATGTGTTCCCAAATTTTTATGCTGAAACCCTGATCCCCAATGTGGCAGTGTTTGGAGGTGATGGGCGATGTGGTCATGAGGGTGGAGCCTTCATGATGGAGTTAGTGCCCTTGTCGAAGAGGCCTTGAAGGAGCTTGTGTGCCATCAGTGAGGACAAAGCCAGATGGAGCCACTTACGAGGAAGCAGCCTTTCTCCATACATGGATCTGCCAGCATCTTGATTTTAGATCCAGCCTCCAGAACCATGGAAGATACTTTTGTATTTTAGACACTCAGTCTAGCATTTCTGGTCATGGCAGCCTGAAGGACTAAGACACTTCTGTCTGCACCTCCCTTCCCAGCACACAACTCACCCTGCTCTCAGGACCAGGACCCCGTCTTTCAAACCTCAAGTGGAAAGAGCCCACTCATGAAACTGGGCCCCCACCACTGACAGACACTGACCCCAAACCTTCATGACTCTGCATTCTCATGTTAAACAGATCTCAGGGTTCTCGTGGAACTTAGGGCTTATCTGTGACGGTTGCAAGTCAAGTGGGCTTCTTAGTTACACACACAGGTACACTCAGGGTGCCACGTGACACCCCAACAACTGATGAGAGGATTTGTTTCATGTAAATTAGAACTGGTCCCAGAAGGACCAGCATCCTCAGCCCACGCTGGCTGTCGCTTCTGAGTGACCCAGCTGTGGCCAATGCCCTTCCTCTGCTCGGCTGCCTGTCTGGGGTTCCCTGGCATCTCTCATCACTTGTAAGGCCTGTGTCAGGGCAGGGTAAAGACAGAGGGCCAGGCCAGGACCATCCAGAGAGGCTGACATAGCTGCAGAGATGGCCAACTGACTCTAGTTTCCGGGAGTGCTTTATAATGACTGGGCCTCTTCTTACTACAAGCCTTGTCCTGAAAAGGTTGTCTTGGGGAATTTAAGCAAAAATCACTAAAAGATGGGAAGCAGCGAACACTAGGTCAGCACCCAAGCACGAGTCTCCTTGCCTCCTCTCTGTCTGCAGGAACACGGATGTCCTAGAGGGATCCTGTGGCGGCCCCAGAGTGCATCACGGCTGTCCGGGCTGGGGAGCAGCCACAGGCTCTGGGCGCCTCCTGAGAACCAAGAACACTCTAGACTGACCTGCTGAGTCAGCTTGCCAGGAGAATCCATGTTGCCAGGGAGCAGCTGGCAAGAATTATTTCAGTCCCATTCTCAAGACCCAGTTTCTCAGTGGATTTCCAGACGCTGACTTGGCTACTGAGTCGTTGGCAGAAATGACCCGCCAGTAAATCACTCGTGTATCAGCTCACTTGGATGGAGACTTGGCAGAGTGGGGCCTGGCTTCCCCAGCCAGCCCACGGACGTCTCTCAGGAGGTTCCGGAGGACACGCATTTGTGGTGCTTACAGGTCAAAGCAGGCTACGGGCTCATGGGTCTGTCCCGGCTCCCACCCCACAAGCAGCTGAACCGAGGGCAGAGAAGCGGCCCCCAGTGCCCGAGTTCTCTCATCCCCCTGGTGTGAGTTGGTATGAAGAGGGAGGGGTGGAAAGGCTGAGGGAAGGCAGAGGCTTCACACCCACAGTATGTACCAGGAAGGGTCACAGGAGGAGCTTGTGGTAAGCAAGAGGTAGGCAGACTTTCCCCTGCATCTCAAGATGCTGCCATTGAGCAAAAGGATGCTGAACAATTCTGGCAGGCTCTCGAGGCCTGGCGTTCCCTCTTCTTTCCCCTCAGACACCCTGGGCTGTGGTCCAGGCAGTTCTGGACACGCTGGCCGAGGCTGCATGGCTTGATGCTATGCCACGTTCTCTCTTTCCCAGGAATTCAAGTGCTCAATTCCCCTGCTCCTTCTGCAGGTTTATGGGCGGGTCCTGATGCCATCCATGGACCTCACCTCCCTGGCCGTCTCTTGACACACACCCCAACCCCACGGCTGACCTGGGCATGCTCTGGGCCAGGCACCACACGGGGGCCCCGGGGACATGGCTCCTGCCCTGCTGGAGTGTTCCTGCTGTAGGGACAGTCATGGGGGGTGCCACAGGACAGAGGCGGGAACATACTATGGCCTCCAGGGGCCGAGGGTTATGACTAGTTGAGAAAACAGAAGGCATCAAACACTCAGAAAAACCAGGGGCTAAACCAAGTAGGCTTGTTATGAAAGTGACTGCTTTCTGTTGTGCTAAGAACTACCTGTCTCATTCTTCTGAGATTTGGCTCAAAACTACCAACCGTGTGTCCATGATGGGACTGAGCAAGAAGGGAGCCAGAGCCTCCACATCATTTACCTGTTTTTACATGACAAAGTCCCATCTCTGGCTGGAAGAAAGAGGCTGGCCTCTTCCTCCTCTGCATCCAGCCTGCAATTGGCTCTTCTCCCTCCAAAACCCACTCTGACTGAAGACCACCACTCACATTGTCAGGATGCAACAGGGACCAGAAACTCCAGGGGGCAGAGACGGGGGATCCAGCAGCCTTGGCACGAGGAGCAAGAAGTGTCATCAGGCAGCCACACGCTGGTGTGCAGGGGTCTTTCTAGTGTTCCCACATTGAATGGGTCCATGCAGTGGTTAAGAGACCAGCAGTAGCTATAGGCAGAAAGCAAGAGCCAAAGGTGCCTGCACGCTGGGGTGTGAGCATCTTACCCGCCTGCATTCTCCATCAGCCTGTCTATAAAGGAGGACTGGAGCCGAACCCAAGCATCGTAGCATTTGCTGCTTTTTGGCATAAAGCTGAATGCTTAAATCAAATTCTTGGGAGACGATACACAATTCACGTGGGTTCATTCATTGAGTTTCTTGTATCCGTCTTATAAAGTTGTTTTTTTTTTTTGAGACAGGGTCTCACTCTATCACCCAGGCTGGAGTGCAGTGGTATGACCACAACTCACCAAAGCTTCAACCTCCTGGACTCAGGCGATCCTTCCGCATCAGCCTCGTGAGTACCTGGGATTATAGGCACGTGTCACCACACCTGGCTAATTTTTTGTAGAGACGAGGTCTCACCATGTTGCTCAGGCTGGTCTCCAACTCTTGAGCTCAAGCAATCCTCCCACCTTGGCCTCCCACAGTGCTGGGATTGCAGGTGTGAGCCACTGAGCTCACCCAAGGTTTTAGTAATGATTGCCTTTTAGAAGAATTTGTCCTATGCTCCCTAGTGGTTTCTCTCCCTGAGATCTCAGAGCGAGCCAGTATGACTTCACCTGGTTTTCACCACATGTCTGCAAGGATGGCTCTCTGCACTGTCTGGGTTTTCTCGTTTTTGACTCCCAGCAACTGCTCTAGGACCACCCTCTTGTGCTCACGGACCCTGGAGAACTGAGGAACACTGGTCCCACAGACTCAGAAAGACATACAAGAGATGGCAGACATCATCCAACCTGACATCTCCAGCCTGTGACCCCATCTCTTCCACAGCCCTTGCCACGCTGTCGCCTAGCTCATGCTTCACTGCCCCAGTGACAGAGAGCCCAGTGCCCCAAAGCAGCCGGACCATTTTTAGATGGCGCTAATTAGGAAGCTGCTCTTAGGCTGAGCATACACCCGCCATTCTCCTGTCTGCCCTTGGCATAGGTATGCCCCGTAGGGCAACCCCAAGTCAACATCCATGTGACAGTCCTAGTGAAGATCATTCTCATTGTCCTCCCTTGGCTCTTTCCTTTTCTGGGTCAAGTCCTGGTCTCTTTAATTTTTGATATATTTTCAAGTCATCTCAAAAGCCTGATGAACTCTAGACTGTGTTCATCAAAATTGTGCATGTGTGGCCAGGTGCAGTGGCTCATGCCTGTAATTCCAGTGCTTGGGAGGTCATAGCAGGAGAGTCACTTGAGCCCAGGAGTTCGAGACCAGCCTGGGCAATAGAGTGAGACCTTGTCTCTACAAAAAAAAAATAGAAGAAATTAGCCGGGGATGGTGATGTGCACCTGTAGTCCCAGCTACTTGAGAGGCTGAGGTGGGAGGATCACTTGAGTCCAGGAGTTTGAGGCTGCAGTGAGCCATGATGGTGCCACTGCACTCCAGCCTGGGCGACAGAGTGAGACCCTGTCTCAAAAAGCAAAACAAACACAAAAACTGAAATTGTGCATGAGTGTGCAGTTGAACTCAGCAGCTAAGCTCTGGTCTGGCCAGTCCCAAGCAGGGTTCTCTTGCTGTGAACCAGGGGTACTAGGGCCCCCTTGATGTGGTTCCCACTTCTCTCAAGC